TATCGATACAGTATTGGGAAATGAAATATCGCGATATTTCAGTGTATCGATATTTTCTTACACCCCTATTGCTTTATGCTGTACAGCACACTGGTGCAGGTGATTGCTATTTTTGAAGTGCTTTATAAATAAAGTTGATATTGACATTGTTGCAAATCAGCTCTTACCCACTTCCACTTGAAAAGACAGGGACTTTTACTGTACCTGGATGTTTTCAGCCAGTGAAGGGTCCCAACCAAAGTACAACCTCAAACCTCAGCCAGCATGCAGCATGTCAAGCATGTCTTTTAACCACTGAAACATCTGCATATTCAGGAAACATTAGAGCTCTGAGAGGCAGCCCTGTTCAGCCAACAGCTTCATGCCACCTTACCTGTAATTACCAGACTCTACACACGATGCATTAAACAGTGGTGACAGATGGAGATGGCAGAATGACAGCACTTAAAAAGTTTCAAACAATCCAGCCAGTGAATTAGTGAGCAAGTCAAAAACTGATGGAGTTTGTCTGCCTCAACACTTCCATCAACTTTCATAAGCAAGGAGACGTTTGTCAAGTTAACACTCTGATGCAGGAACATGCACTTTCTCAGACAGCCAAAACAGCAGCATTATAGAAACTATGTTTGGGATGACACTCAGTTGATAAAGGCAACCTCAGGCTGCAGCAAACAAAATAAAAAAGTGTTGCAAAGAGGCTGCATTACATTAGTGACAGGACTGGTTCACACATTAAGCTCAAGGTCAAMGGATATGAAAGATTCTTCAACAGAGCCACGGGGAGAAATAAGGACAGTGGTGTCCAAAGCCGGTCCTCCAGGGACGGTGTCCTGCATGCTTTAGGTGCTGCTCTGATTCAACACAGCTGAACCTAATGAGTGCTTCATTAGTGGGCCTCTGCAGACCTGGATGGCAAACTGAGAAGCTAAATCATCTATTTGAATCAGCTGTGTTGAAGCAGGGACAAATCTAAAACTTGCAGGAGACCGGCCCTTGAAGACCGGAGCTGGACATGCCTGATTCAGGAGAATATGTATCTGAGATTTTTTTTTTTCTAATTGCGAGCAGGTTTATTATATCTACACAGCAGCAGCATTGGACAAACAGAAGCTTTATGTGCAGATAAATGAGAATGATGATAGGCAGAAAAACAGCACACACACCAGTTCATCTAATAAAGAGCAGCAAGAGTATCAAGTTTTTTGAGTTTACCTTAATATGTTGCACTAAATGATGTTCAGATTGCACTGTTGCAGTGACTTTAACTGGAAAAGGTTGAATACTGATCAGATGTTCTCAGCCTTTTAGGCATTGCTGTTTGAGTTTAAAGCCAACTCAAAAACAGAAATGACTCAGAGGAAGAGTCAAGTTCTGATCATCGAGAAAACCTGAGTACTGAACTACTTTATATACTTAATGTACTGTAATATGATGACAGTAAACTTTTCTTTTTCCACATAGATAATAAAATCAAAATAAATAAAACTATCTCAGCTCAGTGTCAACATGCTAAAGTGAGCTAGCAAATGCTGAAGGTTTGCAGAGGGACCTGATAATGAGCTGCAGTGCTGCTGGTGTTAGATGAACGTTTATGTGATGTGTATGTGAGTGCTAAATGCAACAGTCAGAACGTCTTGCTCCCCATTACCTTCACCTGTTGTGTCTTCTGTCAGTAAAAAGAACAGGGGCATAGAAAAGAGAGCAAAGATTTACTGATMTGAAAGGAAAAGATAGAAGAACTAACACACWGATTTTGCTTCTTGTCCTTCCACGGCTCTAGTTAGACCAGGTGATACCAGAGTAGACAACACAAAGAACAACACAGATGCAGGATCCCCAAGACACATTCATAAACACCAGCCTTGGGTCACAACAACTCAGGCCAAACAATGGTTAACTGTGCTACTTATACATGCCTTTTATTCAAACCAGCAGACATTTTATAGGAAWAAGACTGAGTCAAAGGTGCTTGTTTGAAGATCAGGAGATGGTCACATAATTCTACAAATGTTCTCAAACCTTAGTAGAAGAAGTCGATGGGCTAAATTTTTTAAGATTTTATTCATTTTGTGCTACTTTGGTAAAAAATTTACTAAAATTTGAATGATACARTGAAGATTAGCATGGCCCCTCACGCAAATKCATGAAGCRTTCCTCATTTCGGGRGTGACTGTKGCAGAGTGGTTCAGGGAGTCGTCCTGGAACCACTAGGTTACCGATTTGATCCCCAGCAAGACACTTCACCCCTAATGCCTCTGATGTGTCCCATCAGTGTATGAATGTGAYTGGCACTGACTAGTCTCCACAGATGATTGTACATGTTAGCTTTGTAGGAGACCTAATAAAGTGCTGTGTGAATGGGTAAATGAGGACACAGATTGTAGTGTGAAGCACTTTGTGTGTCCTGGTTGGATAGAAAGGCTCTATATAAGTACAGCCCATTTACCATTTTGCCACAACCATATAGTTTGTGTTTGAATACATGTTTCAGGGCCAGAATAAAATTATTCATGTTTAATTTGATGTCGATTGGATAAAATATGTGAAATGTACATTTAGTTTCTTGGTAAGGAATCCAGCTTGGCTGCACCGGGAAGACCACACATTTTGTCAAAAGTTCACTGTGTCTAAATCTAAATGACATCAACTTATGTGTTATTGGCCACAGTTTAAAGATGATACAGTCTAAGACATCAGAGAATAATGTCCCTGAGTAAAACATGTCACTTTCTGTTTTCAGTAAAGCTGAATGATGGTGGAATATTGAGTAGATGTGTTGTGGACAAGACCAGTGGTTCCCAAACTTTTTATCTTCTGACCCACAAAATATCCACGGCAAAAACTTGTGACCCCAAATATTACTGGTCTGAGTACACGAACTTCGTTAATAACCCTAAAAACACAGGCTTTTTGACAATCTAAACAGCTTATACACAAATATAAATACTTATTTATAGTTATTTTGTGTTTTTGTAATATTTATAGAGAAAATATTACAT